GTAAATGTTATTCGCTTTAGTGAAGAATTATTTAAAGGTTGATTGTAAGCACTGTTAGTGTATTGTAATAAATTGTTATATCAAATATAAGGTTGTTAAGCGAGCTGCTTAAGTTATTTTGTAAATAAACTAAAGCGAGTTTGGAATCAGCCAGATAAATAAGAACAAGTGCAAATGACTGAAATAATTAGCCACAAGTGAATAATAAAAGGAAGTTTATAAAAGGCTTTAATACATCTTCGTTTGTTTAGAGTTATCCTATATCATTGAGCATGTTACAGATTTGCCAAAGTTTTCTAGGTGAAAGAAAGAAGCAGCAAGCAAGAACCAAAGTAAATTCGTAATCGAACTAGTTGACAAAACGCGAATTATTGTGAATTAACTGATAAGAGTAATCCAAAAGTTATGTTATCGTCAGCCATTAACAGAAAAGCTACCTTGCAAAATAAATGTATCCTTATCATTTGATTCATCTTCAGCTCTAGTCCAAAATTCAAGCTTAAAATTACTATTAATTAATAAATAATATATAATACTTACATGTTTAAAAGGAGTTATAATTCACAACCAGTTAATTTAAGCATTGAATGCTAAGGATACCAGCTGCAACTTTTGATGATTGTTTGCAATCACCTTTGTATCATATAAAAATGATTGCGACACCTATTTGTAACCATCTTTGCGACCACTTTGTTTCCTTTTTTGGATTGCTACATGTAATATTATTGAATGACATGACAATGTGAATGTGAAGGTGAAAGAAAGGGATTTAGAGGAAGGAAAAAAAGTTGGAGAAAAAGAAAAAGTATTGAAGGAGTAAGCGAAGAAGTTAAAGGATGCGTTAGTGATTGAGACCAATAAAGTGAAAAAAAATATATAAAAAAATATTTTCATTAGGTCCATTTCGTTTACACATTTACAATTTACTTGTACTCTTTTCCTTTAGTTATTTATTAACACAAAAAAAGATTTAACATTTGCCGTGTCACGATCTCCTTCCAAATCCCGCAAGTCGTGCGACTTCCGTGCAGGTTTCTTGCCAAATGTCTCTTTTTGTGTCTAGCCGCGCCTGATCTTTTCGATTATCACGTTTTCAATTGACAAAAAAATTATCAAATAAACTTTATAATTATTATGTAAAATAGAAAAAAAAATATAATTTTTACCTTGGCCATCTAGATAACTTCAATACCCATGTACTTTTACTAGAGGCGAGGAAAATAAAATAGTAACTTTCACTCCACTAAAGAAAATTTATTTACATAATAATATTCAAATAAATTCGTAATTGTATGCAGCGTTGTGACCAGAAACTCTTTTGGCTTCCCGAAACGTTTTGGAAAATGAACTTACACTAAGCAGAAAACTAAAACTAAAACTAAACCTAAGCATAAACTACTAACCTAAACTAGTTTCAGGTGGTTTCTGTTAGTTTCTGTTTCGGGTCTTCCCTAAACTCAGAGTTTCGGGTCACAACACTGACTGTATATAATAAATATCAATTAGCTTTCTAATTCTTTCATTTTTCTTTTATTTTAGATGGTAAGGTACCTGATCCATCACAACCACCACCAAAAAAATAACGAATTTTTTTTATTTATAAAACTTATTATAGATTAATTTCAACCATTTAATATAATTTTTATTTATTCATAATATAACTTAATTAATTTGATTCTGATTAAAGATCGTTATATATATATATATACATATATAGTACATAGATAAAAAGTTACACGAGCATGAAATATGTATATGAAAATTTTTACTCAACTCTGCTACATCCCCAAGAGTAAAAAAACTTTTTTTTCCAATATACTTTAAAAAAAAATACATTTATAATATGTTCATTGACATTTGCTTCATAATGTAAAGTAAAAAAAGTTATTTTATAGTACATTTTATTTTTTTATTGGTATTGTCACCGATTAAATTTGGGTGAGCGTATTTTAATTGGTGATAACAATTATTTTTGTTTTTGCGTGGATCAGAATGAATAGGGGATCAACGAATCGATTTTGGTATTAGAGAATAATTTTGGTTAAAGAAGATAAAAGTTTATTTAAATCAAATATTACTATTTTATTTAGTCGAAACTAATTAATTTATTACCAAGTTTTCCTTAGTCGAAACTAATTAACTTATCACAAAGTTTTCCTTAGTCGAAACTAATTAACTTATGACATAGTTATTAAACTAAGACAAAGTTATTACAAAGTTATTTTACAAGCAAGTCAAATTTGAGCTTCTTTTATACAATTAAATTAATTAGTAACAACTTCATTGCAATCTAACATTCTAGCTGCGATATCGCACTTTAATTGCGACGTAACATTCTAACCGCGACGCATCTAGCCATTTTACTTTATCATGTAAAATTTTTGTTACTGATGACCTATCAATATTCAATGGAATTTTTCACTAAAATAAATTTGCAATTTCTTGATGAGTTTTCTGAATGTTTTCTTGGTAATATATACAAATTTCTCTTTTCAATTGCTCACTAATAGCTGTTTTTTTTGGTTGAGACATGATAATGATAATGATAGTAATGATAATAACAACAATAATGGTAATGATAATTCCAATGGTAACAATTTATTAAAATTCAAAAATTTTCAATAATATTTACACATGAATTGGTGATTATTAGGAATGGGAAATTGCATGAAATTTCAAAATTTCATGCGCATTTTATGCAGTGCATTTTTTTTTTTTTTTAAATTTTTTAATTTATTTTTTAATTTATTTTTTAATTTTATCTTTTAAGAAAAATCACTTCAGTTCTAGAAATTCTATCAACGAAATTATCAAAAGGTTTCACCATAAGTCAAAGTTTCACCATAAGTCAAAACTAGTTTTGATTTTTGACTATTGACTTTTGATTTAGTTTGACTTTTGTCTCTTCAAAACAGTTTTGGCTACCAACACTAATGTATACATACATTCGCTTTTCTTCAAAATCCAGTTCTTCAAGATGACAGAAAGGGACAATGAATGAAAACTGTTTAAAAAGGGGCAATATATTGGAAGCAATAGATATTCATTGCTTTTATGCAATTTCCTGCCATCACTTTTTCAAGATTTAATTATATCACATGAAGAGCTTATGACATCATTTTACTTTTTTTTTTTTTTTAGTTTTTGGAGATTTGAAGATTCCAAAGTTTTAAAATAGTTTTGGAGTTTAAAAACTGCTTCAGAGTTTTGAAATATTTTTATTTGAATAAAAATTCAATCATTTGATGTAATTGAATACTGAAATTAATTATGAATAGTTGTGAATTAATGAATATGCAACACACTTCTCAACATTTTTTTTGCCCATCAGCAAATTATGATCCATTTATCCTCTGAATTTTTTGCAAGTGAAGCTAATTCTACAATAACAATTTTTTTACTGAAGGTACTGTATAAGGAGAACAAATTATTTTTGACATTACTATAAAAAAAAGATTGATATGGCACAGATTTATCATTTTTCTCCATAAATAAATTTGACCATGACAGTATACAGCACCTTTTTTTTATAATAAATATAATTAAAATCAAAATGTAGAACGAAATCTATGTAATTATAAGATTTCTTTATCATGATAATAATATTTGTTTTATATACAAAGATAAAAAAAGCAACATGGCCATTGAAGATTTCTCTGTCATGATTCAATATGTAACATTTGATTAATTTACATTAATATATTGATATTACCTCAGGGCTTGGATATTACAGTTATTCTCTTATTCTTGGAGTACACAAAGGCTCATTCAATTTGACTACCTAAAGATGTGATGGCATAGAACTACAGAATTGCATTGTTGCTAAAAGCATCTGCCAAACATGAACATTTACTATCACATAATTCGCATATTTCTTTTTCTTTTTCTAAATGGATTCAACTTGTTGATCACCAGTTGTTTATTATGTTTTGTTCTAAGTTACCAGATTAATTTTATCAATCTTTTGTTGGCATTATAAAGCTTGCTAATATAGTAAAAAAAAACACGCATTTTTGTTAAGTATTTATAAAGATTTTGGATATACAGTACTACGTGACAAATAAGAATTATACACAAAATTTAATCGTCACATAAATGATAAATGTCACAAGATGTTTTACAACTTCCTTTTTGTTTTGTAGAATGAATTTCATTTTTGGTAGGGCTTTTGTAACATTTCGTAATGTATTTTCCTTTTTAATAAAATCGTTTTAGTGATTGTGATTTACAAACCAATATTTATCTTACTAAATAAGGATCTAATAAATAAATCAAAAACATTTATAAATAAACAAATTTTTCAAATTTTATCAATGTATAATAAATTAATATGAACAGAAATAATAATAATCATCATAATGGCAAATACATTTCTTCGTCTGTTACTGAATTGGATGATGATGATATTACAATAAAACCACAACCAACAAAACTAGAAGACTATTTCTTCCCATCTCACAGACTTAAAACTTCTCTTGAAGGTATCGTCATATCATTAATTTTACTCTCTTTGTTGTTTCTTTACTATCACTACCTTTTTTCCTGGTTCAATTATTCCGATTAATCGATTATTCCTAACATTTCTCCTTGAGCATTCCCTGAATTCACTTAAAACACGCGAAAATTGGCTTTTTTTAAAAAAATCTTAAATTTCTAAAATATTATTTGAACTGACTATTTTATATTTTTATTGAAATATCAAAAATTTTAAATTCATTCCTCAACAAAAATAGTTTTTTTTTTCTTAATTAGTTATGAATTGTCTCCCACAATTTATATCACTACAATTTTTACCTACTAGACTATTATTACTACTTCATCAATATCAGTAGATGCCACAAAAGTACCTATAGCAATCGTTGCGTGTGGCTCATTCTCTCCAATAACATATTTGCATCTTCGAATATTTGGTAATAAATTTTTTAGATTTTTTTGTTAATATTCATAAATATAATCGATTAACATGTATAAATATATATATTTGATCATTATTATTAGAAATGGCAAAAGATTACATTATTGAAAATACAAATTTTGAAATAGTAGGAGGATACTATTCACCAGTTTCAGATCATTACGAAAAAGTTGGACTTGCACCATCTCAACACAGAGTTCGTATGTGTGAATTAGCTGTGGAAAGAACCTCTACATGGTTGATGGTAGACGCATGGGAAAGTTTACAAGATTCTTACACGAGAACAGCAGTAGTGCTTGATCATTTCAATCAAGAAATTAATAATAAACGTGGTGGTGTAATGATGAAAGATGGTATGCTTACACATACTCAATATCCTATATCCTATATTCTATATGTGACGAATATATGCGTATAGATTTAAATATGTAGAATTAATTAATATTTAGGCAAATCTCGTCCAGTTAAAATCGTACTTTTGGCTGGTGGTGATCTTATCGAGTCATTCAAGATTCCAAAACTTTGGTTAGATGACGATGTAAGTAAATAAATATTTTTTTTAGAAAACTTTATAAATTCTTTTTTCCAAAATAACGACAATAGCAACAACATTAATTATAACATTAACTCCATCTTTCTTTATTTGCAAATTCTTTTTTCTTTAAGTTACATCATATTCTAGGTGATTATGGAGTTTTTATAGTAGAGAGAACTGGATCTGATGTTTGGGGATTCTTGCTTTCACATGATATACTTTATCAACATCGAGTAATTATTATATGATGATAAAATATTTAATTTTTGATGAATGCATGTTAATTAATGATTTATTTAACATTATAGAAAAATGTTTATGTTATTAAGCAGTTGATTTATAATGATATCAGTTCAACGAAAGTTCGGTAAGTTTATTTATTATACATGTATATATATACATATGTGAATTTATTTATTTATTTAGTATATAAAAAATTTTTTTTACATTATTCAAATAATAATATCATAGATTATTTGTCAAGCGTGGAATGTCAATTAAATATTTGCTTCCTAATTCTGTGATCAAACATATTCATGCTAATGATCTCTACAAATAATAGTATATGCAACCTACAAATATATATGCACATACAATTAGATGATTCATTATTTACTCGTTTACCTTGTTCTTTCTCATATTTTTTATTACATTCTAAAAATGTTAAATTTGGCTTTATCTATCTTATTAATAATTAAATTAAATAAATCAAATAATTAATATATCTGATATATTATTTTTTAAAATCTGACGCGTAATTAATAATTATTGTTCCCGCTCACTATAAAGGAAATATATTTTTTTAATGATAATGATGATGACGATGATGATGGTAATGTTACTAGTCAAGAATGATAATAATGACGATAACACTTGAGAAGAAACTGTTTCAGAAAGAAAATTTTTAAATAATATTCGTGACTACATCAATTACAGCGACTACAGTTCATAGAACACACTTTCAAGACTGGAAACTTGGGGTTAGAGTTCTTGTATCTCTGATTCATGGGCAAAATAGCACCACCCTGCTATGAGATGGTTTTCTTGCAATGTTCTAACTCTTTTATGAGAATGCGGATTTTTCCTCATTCTTTTGGTTTATAGCAACCTTAGCATTGAGTTCCTCTCTGAGCTCGTGATTAATATTAAGTAGCAATACATATGCGAAATCCATACTGATACCAGAAAATTCGGTCTCGCTTTATAGTATCAATCACAACATTCCACAATTACAGCAATGAGCACATCTCGAACGATGATGTGGAATTGGCCTTCATGTGTAAAACTTTATATTATCAAAAAGCTGAGCTATATTCCAATGCCGAAAGGTTAGCGAAGGCCTGTAAAAAGCGAGAATGCACCTTTAAACTTTCCGGGATCAAAAAATGGCTAATAATCAAGCTTTGTATCAGATATTTTCTCCCGCTCCAGTTACCTCCACAAAGTGTTCTAGAAACCGCAACTATGAGTTTTCCAACATCAATTCTCAGAGATATTTTGAGCTAAATTTTCATTGGCTTAATTAATATAAATTATTTTTTACTTGTCAAGCGGAAATTAATATACTATTAAAATTTTACAACAAATGTTATTGATATGATTCATTAAAATTTCTTTTTAAGTAATGAACAATTCTTTATGTCTGCTCATTACAAATCAACCGTTATATTATCTTTTAATTAAAAACCGATTCTGTCTATTATCTATTGCGTCAAAAAGTCACCTGATTTAATCTAACATAAAATCCTTTCCATTTACAGTACACTCTCTATAACAATCCTTCTGTTTTGGCAAAAAAAGTCTGTTATTAGGGAATTTGCAAATTGTAACCACGTGAACAATTCATAATGTGATATATAAAAGATTTTCTTTTTAATAAATAAACATAATAATACAAAATATTATTTGCATTAAATATTTGAGTGATACAATTTTTTATATTTCAAGATCGAAAAAATTACCATCGATTCGATGCAAATTGAGATCTTTTATGTACATCAACATCATAAAGTCATAAGAAAGTTGGAAGGCTGTTCTTATATCGTATTTACAGTAAAACTATAATGTGGATCAATATTATAGTAAGTCATTCATTATGATTCTTCGATTATGAATTATATTCATTTAGATATATATAACATGAAAGCAATGATGATAAATGTTTAAATAATTACGATAATGATATATGTGTAAGTAATGTTATGAAGACGTGAAATAAGGGTGATGGATATGTGAAATAATGTTGACGAATGTAAACATATTGTAACAATAAGAGAAATATAAGTGCGTTCGGATTAATAATCGTAACTAATTGACGATCCGTCTATGAATCGGTCAACTCTAATACTAAATAAAGAAAAATGTCACAAATTTTACTTAAAAAAAAGGGATTACTCTTGGGGGTGTAGAGATGAGTATGAGTGAGATTTTTCATATAAAAAAGTTTTTACGTTCGTGTAACTTATTAAATAACATAAACAGTTAATAATAATAACAACAAAAATGAGTGTATAATTATTTCTAATTGGAGTCTCTATATTATTCGAATTATTCCAACTATTCATAATAATAATAATAATAAATTTTAGTATTCAATTACATCAAATGATTAATTTTTATTCAAGTAAAACTATTTTAAAATTTCAAAATCATTTCAAATCTCCAAAACTTTAAAAGAAGCAAAATGACGCCATAAGTGTTTTATGTGATAAAATATTTTTCTAAAATTTATATCACGTGGTGGGGATGTGTTAATAGTAAAGGATCGACATCTCACATATATAGACATATCGTCAATTAATTGGTATTAATTCGATGTGGTACGAAAAACTTCCTAATTATAATTTAACAATGCAATGATCATTGGCCGTTATTTGCTTTCGCAACAAAAGAAAAATTCAAATATATATACTGGCTGTACCCACGTTATGAGATTGATCCTGGCAATAAGATTCTGTTTTACAAATCGAATAAAAATGATGATGAAAAGAAGCAATTCATGATTTCATAACAATTGTATCATATTTTACTGGATAAATTGATTTGTTTAGATTGTGAAAATCAAATCGTGAATACCATGTATTTTTTGGCCCACAAGTGGGTGATAGCAGATCTATTTATATGTTTTTGCAGTAATTTATTGAACTTCTGAATCAATGCACCGTTTGGCTACGAAATAGTCTATTTATGAAAAATTACATCACTGTGCAAAAGGATTCACATCCCAACTATTCAAAATTATTTTCTTTATGCATAATATTCATATTCTTTTTATTTCATGTATTTAATAAAAATAACAAATTTAAAAAAATTTTTAATTGAATTTTTTTCTCAAAATTGGTGCAGAAAGTTAGTGTCTCGCACTATAAAATTTAAAATGATTGTTGGAAATGAAAATAATAAAATTTGCCAGAAAAAACTGGCAAATTAAAGTAGCTTTTGTGCAGTAATTATATCAACTGTTTTTTTGACGACACATGAAATCAATAATGTGTGGATCATAAAAAAATTGAATTCATTTCCTCATATAGATATGACAAATATGTCCCGCAAACACCACTAATCCTATGCAGTATTTGCAATATCAAACCGGAATAAGTATATGCATGTCATGGGTGAATAAGAAGACACAAGATACGAAGTAGTGTTGGTTGCCAAAACTATTTCGAAGAGACGAAAGTCAAAACTAAAATTAAAATTTATATGTCAAAACTAAATCAAAAGTCAATAGTCAACAATCAAAACTAGTTTTGACTTATGGTGAAACCTTTTGACTTTTGCACGGTTGCGAAACTCTCTAGTTTTGGAAACCAACACTAATACGAAGGCAGTGTTTGATCGTGAAGAAGTATGCAGATACCTAGAGACGAATAATCCCAATTCAGCCATTCTCAGAGGACAATATGTATTAGTATTAATGATACCCGACGAAATATTTTTATAGGTGGGAGATTATTTCGTTAATTCGTCATGTTTGGCGAAATGTGGAAATGTGACGAAAAGGAGAAAATGCGACGAAAAGGAGAAAATGTGACGAAAAGGAGATATTATAAAAAAAGTTTTTAACAAATTCATCCGCCAATTTGAATTCCCATGAGAATATTCGACATCCGCCAAAATTAAAATATCCGAAATTAATATTCAATTAATAAATTAAAAAATAATTTATTCACTCAACAAAAATGATTTCTATGCTTCTTTAATCAGTCAAATTGTTGACTATCATGATAAATAAATAAATAAATGTTTTTAAAGTCTTTTAATTTTGGCGGATGAATTTTGGCGGAAAACGATTATCACGATAGTCAAAACTAATCAAGACGAATCAATTTATGAATTTTCTGATAATAATTATGATCCAAGAGATTTAGTAAAAGATGTCTTACATGATTATTGTGAAGTTATAGGAATAATTATTTAGAACAAGGATGTTATGATATTGGCATTAAATAACAAATCTGGAAATAATACAAATGAAGATGATGATAATTTAAAAAATAACATTTTACGTAGACAAAAGAGTAAAAATAATATTTTAAATGCAAAAAGTAAAACAAGTTTAACATTAAATAAAAATTATTATTGCAAAAATTTTCTTTGTGAAAATGGTTATTCTCACTGTCTTTTTTTTTTCGTCAATTTTTCCTTCCCCTTTTCGTCATGTAATAGTAACATTTCGTCAATATGACAAAATGTACAAAATGTAATATTCATTAGTCTATACATGGAAAAGTTTTCATTATAAATAAATAAAACTAACAATCTTTCGAAAAAAAATAAAAATTACATACAAACACACACGCACACACACACCATAATGCCAGCTAATAAAACCACAAACAAAACCAGAAATTCCAGTAGCAAAAGAGCAACCTCAATGTAATTATTATTTATTGTTTTGAAAGCTATTCTAGTTTAGAGATTGGGATTGGTCAAAAATTTGTTAGTCAATTAATCAGTCATTTTGTACATTTTATTCATTTTAATATTATTTATTTATTTACTTGCAGAGTACCAGGATTAGTTTCAGCAGAAGATGCTAAATCAACACTAATCCTAACAGGAGGAGAATCGGTGCCTTAGCCGGTTTGGAGGCTACTAACAAAAGAAGTGGGGAGTTCACTCCCTACGAAGAAAATTCTTAAATGTGAGGGACACAACAGTACAACAAGTTGCTGAGAATGAGGAGGTCCAAGCCTTGATGAAGATCCTCGGATTGGAACAAGGTAGGACCTATGATTCATTAAGCAACTTGGAGTACGGAAGTTTATTGATCATGACCGATCAAGATCTTGATGGAAATCATATCACCGGTCTGATCATAAACTTCTTAGGTTGCCTATTCCCTTCATTGTTAAGACAATATTTCCTACAAAAATTTGTCACGCCAATCGTCAAGTGTAACAGGGGTCAGATAGAAATGACCTTTTATACATTGCAAGAGTTCAAACAATGGAAAACTTGCAATGACAATGGAAAATGATGGATTATTAAGTACTATGAGGGACTTGGAAATAGCACCTCTGATGAAGCCAAAGAATACTTCGACAACTTGGATAGACATGTTAAAAATTCAAGCTGATAAACGTAAAACTTGGATCCTATATCAACTACTTGGCTAAAAATGCTACTTTTTTTGATATGCATTTTTAATAGTATAGTTTGTAATATTTAAGTAGTGTTTATGTAATTGTAATATCATTTTGTAATGGTTAATGATATTTGTGTTATTTTTGTAAAAAGTAATAAAAACATTGCAGAGAATAATAAATAACCAAAATTAATTGAAACATATTTGTGATTTATTACATAGTGCAAACTTAACATTTTAGTAACCAAATAACCCCATATTGAATTTTGATGATAATATTTATTATTTAATAAAACATATACAGTAATTCCCGCGAATATCCAACCAATAATTATGAAAATTTAAATATATACATTTGAGAATAAACGGAACAACATTTTTTAAGTTCCAAGATGTGTTAAAACATGTCATCTCTAAGCGTGACTTTTTCGAAAAATTTTAATTTAACATCATAAAATTATCAATAACAATCAGTCCAATGTGATATTTTAGAATGTTACGGAATCATTTGCACAACATCGATTTGCTTAGTAAAAAAACGAGTATTTGTATTACCTGCCCGTTTATTCAATTATTTTTGCAGATATTGTTTTAAATCATCGAGACAGAAAGGTGCACAACTTTGTGGGTAATTTCCAAAGGACAATCAGTTTTGCCAGCATAGTCCACTACCAACTGTCAATTTGTTTGGGAAATCGCAAATAATGAACGAAGATTGTCTATGATTATATTAGGATAACATCGCCCATGACAGTCCATTAATTCATCAAAAGACCGCGTTGGCATATAGAAGCATTAGGGTAAGCTTGGCAAATCTTTCCTATCGTCATCATTCCATTTCATAAATTCATTTCTGGTACTCTCCTTAGAGGAAGAGGAAGAAATTAGAACTGAACTTGCACTTGCATGACGTGGTTTTACTCCATCACAGATGTACCAATTGTCCAAATTTTCCAATTCTCTTATTGAGGCAGATTTTTCAACTTGGGTACCTTCTCCATTTTGACAAATGTATAGGATACCTGGATTATGAATAGTTTGAGTGACAACTGTATGATTTCTCTTGATCAATTCAGTAATAAGAAAGTCACCAAAGCATGTTTTGCTACAACCAAAGTTCCACCAATATAGACACGAGGACTTTTACAATTCAACACAAGTTGAAGAAATCGATGCCAGCAGGATCGGATATAAAGTTTTGATTTCCGGCCGAGAAAAAATTTTTCTTGCACCAGACTGATAACTCAGTTTTCTTCTGTCACATTCGAAACATTCTGAAGAAATTTAAAAAGCACATCAGGAATGGTTTCAATAAAAATAGTATTAGTATAAAAGTTTATCAGAATTGGTCAATATTGTAAACGGTATACCAAACAAATAAACAAATAAACGAAATGGAGTGAATAGAAAATATTTTTTTGTATATTTTTTTTTTATGTAATTTGTTCATTACCTTTCCTTTATTGTAGTAATTCTCTCTATTTCTTAACTTCCTCTCATTTCTCCTCTTTGTCCTTTTCCAAATTCTTCTTTTCATTCATTAAATAATCCCTCTCTTCACGTTTTTCCTCCCCTCCTTTCCACAACTCTCCCAACCTGATCTTGCACTCCTTTAACTCCTCCTCTACCTTTTTATGCTCATTTTTTGCTTTATTTAATTGTTTTTCCAAAGTTGACATTTTGTAAATTAAAAAAAAATTTTTCTATATAATTTATGCATAACATAATGATAAATTAGTGAGCACATGACTTGAATTTTTTTTTTTCCAATAATAGAAAAATACTAAAATAATTAAAAGAATTTTCAAAGCGCATCGGAGGAAAATACTCGGACCAAAAAGCCATTTATAAGTATTACCTATTCTTTGAGTACTCTGACAAAAATTCAACTTTCATCTTATCAATAATATTATTATTACTAATATTCATATCATTGTTGTTTTTATTATCTTCGACTATTTTTTGGATCAAATCTTTACTAAAACAAAAAAAAAAAAATAACAAAATAACAAATACTATAATATATTACTTAATGACATGTATAAATAATTCATCCTATCATTTTCATATTTGATTGGTAACCAATAAAATAATTTAAGACTTTAATAAATTCTTTGATTAAAGAACAAAAAACAGTTTAAATAAATGTAATTTGTGAACCCTTAATCTCTGATGACAAATAAACACTCTTGGTCAATAGGCTCCTAAAAACCATAAATATAAGTATTATTTACACTAAATTTAGGTGAACTAAGTACAATTAACATAAAATAATACTGACACTATGGAATACAAGTCCAGACGGGACCGCAGTTGTAGGAAATAGGACAACAAAAATCACCGCAACATTTCTCGGTATCAGCACAGCACTCGAAACCCGGAGCGTTGAAATTGCAGGGAATCGTAGTTTTAGACAGGCATGTATCCAAATCGCAATTGGTGATACCGCTACAACTAGAAGCAATAGTACAACATCCAGTGCCTTCGAGACATTTTTCATAATTGAGGACGCAACCTCCTGAACATAACGGACTACCGGGAGCGCCGGGGGGCGCAACCAACCCTTGACAAAGATAAAGCAAAATTGCTGAAGGCTAAAATGATGAGAACAAATACCAAAAATAAATTCATAATATCGATTTTGAATGATGTAAACTACCAATACTTTTATGGTGGTGTTAGAGAGAGTGTGTGAGAATCATTATTATTATTTGCATACATTCTTATTAAATGGTAGATGTCACACAAAATCATTCTGGATAATGTGATTGCATTTCTTTATCGCAACATGACGATATTAGATTTGTTTATGGTACAGTTTTTAAATTTAACACACTAGATAACGCCCAATAATGCTGTTTGCGTTCGACATTTCCTAATAATTCATAATAAGACGTTTGTAGTCTTCTTTTTTACAAATGATGATGCAGACACGTTTAATAACTTGTAGAGGAACCGGTTAAAATAGGTTAGAATGTAGGTGAAATGAAGCCACATTCACATTATCGGCTAAATGCAAGAGAATGGAGAGTAAGATTGAGATTAATCTACTATCTATTATTATTGAAGTCCTTGAAACATTGTAATTTAGTAAATTATAATTTATTGTCATCGTAATTATAATATATTTGTTTTGCATTGAAAAATAATATAACGAGTGATTTATGAGCAGAGATAAGAATTATTCATTATTTAATAGAAATTTTATTAAATCGTCAAACATTCATTTTTTTGTAAAAAAAATTAATATACAAGGTTAAAAAACCGATCAAGGTTTTTAGCCGATTCCAACCTCAATAATTTGTTAATAAAAATGTAAGAATCGTATATACAGTATAAAAGATGGATGTAGATGAAAATTTACAGCAAACGAAAATATTCCGTAAAGTTTTCATGAAATTGTTATGCTCCCTTTTTAAACGGTTTTCCTTCCATGTCTTTCTGCAAGCATAAGAAAAATGTTTTGCAAAAAGGTAGTAGATCTAATCGAATTTGGTTTATTATAACAATTATCATTCGCCATTATTAAAATAATCTACCATCTTCAACTCCAAGGCCACTAATAATGATAACATCAATAACATGTTAACTCTATAATCACATCCGAATGAACTAAAATGACATCAACTAGCATTGCAAAACAATAAGGCGCCAGAATATGTTATTAGCAGTCAAACATACAAGTCTACATGGTACAAATTCACCATCTTACTCTCTTTACTACTACCACTATCAACTACAACTTCCTCGTCATTATTTTCATATTCGTTGTCAGTGCCTTTTTTTGTGTAGAAGCTAGTCCAAATAGTAATGATAATAGCATTTGTGTCGGCAGAAATAGCAGTAATTATTATCAAACTAATGAATTATTCAGATTATGATAATAATAGTAATTATGGTCATAGAGATATAATGAATCAATAAATGATAATTATAATGATTTATATCAAGAAGAGAAAGTGGAGGAATTTTCTAGTCAACAATATCATTGTCTCTTTTTAGTAAGAGAAATAAATATAACAATAGATTTTCAATTCTTTTTATAATTGAATGGCAAAGAAGTAGTAGTCATAGTATTAATGTCAACAGGAGGTGGCATTGTCAATAAACTGATAATGTGAAGACGAGGATGATTATGATATAGCATTAAAAACACCATCAAAACGGTTAAAACTTTCTAATTAGGAATTAGTATATATAGACAGCAATACGTAGGAAAAAATAATAATTGAAAAAAAAGCCTTATTCAGTCAGTATAAAATATATTTTTTTAAAAGCATTTTTTATTTTTACTTTATTTACAAAAAATAAAACAAATAACAAAAATAAATATCTAATCTAATGTAATGGAGTAGTTGCCCTTGTCCACGTGATATTATTATTAATTTTACCTTTTCTCTCAACATTGCAAGTTAAACAATTACAACTTTGATTTCCATAATAATGGTGGATGTTCCAACACCTCATACAAAATCTTCTAAGCAATGGTACATTAGTTGATTTTTCTGAATCAACAATCACATTATTATAACTATTATAACCATTTTTGTTAAATCTTTGTAAATCATCATCATCATTTTTTTCCAAGTTCCATAAATAGTTCATATATTCTATAATTTTTGGCAAATACAATGGCGAGGAAGTTGATATAAACATTCTACAACATTCACACAAATACCCATCTTGAATATAATCTATTATAAAATCTGAAATAAATATGTCAGTAGTGAACTTTTCATCATCATAATCATCATCACTTTCGTCTTCTTCATTGTTATAATTTCTAGCAACAAGTGGAACTTTTTTTTGAATGATTTTTTTAGCACATAAATCACATAATGAGGGTATTTTTGTTGTTGTTGTTTTTTCACAATTCCCTTCACTATTGCCATCATTATTATTTAGTGGTGGTGATAATGATGATATTTTATACTCTGAATTGATTTTAGAAACATTTGATTTTCTTAATGGATTAAATTTAATTCCAAGTAAGACTGTAAATGAATTTAACCTTGTAATATATGGCGGAAAATATTGAAATAAATTATTGGCAAGTCGTAAAACTTTTAAATTCCTAAAAAATAAGATTTCATGAGCAAAAACTTTTTTTTTTAAAAAAAAAGAAAAAATAATATTAGTTATGAATGGTTTTTTTCCTATATATTTATGTATATGCGTGTGAATCTACACACACATATATTTGTTACCTTTTAACTTATTTCTAGATAAATCCAAAATGGTTAAAGAATGAACAGATAAATTTTTATCCATAATAATTGGTGAGAAGGAATAATAATATTTTAAAACAATATTTAATTTTTTCATATGTTGTGGATATTTTGTAAGATTTAATCCCCTGAATGAGATATGATTATGTGGTGAAATCATTAAGAATTTTTCTATTTCATCTACAATATATTGATTTTTAGATGTAATTGGAATTGGTGGTTTGATCTTTTTTTTTTTTCAATTAATTTTATAAATTTAATTATTGTCAGAACTCTTCTAAAAAAAAATTATATAATTATTTTCAATAATAATATATATATATTTTGATTACTTGATTATGTTCTTGTATTATTGAATTCCATGATTCAACCATTTGTTTTAATTTTTGTTGTATTATAGTGCATGCTTTTGCTTCTGAATGTTTCAATGTTTTTCTATATTCTTTGTCATGTGGTAACTTTTTAATAAAATTCTCAAGATCATTAAGAAATCTTACTAAACATATTAAATAATTAATTGGATGAGTGCGGGAGTGTGAGTAAGAGTGAAAGAAAGATAGATTATAAAATCATTAATTAATTATATATATATAATAAAATAATAATAATTAATGTACCAAATATCGGTTTAAATAAATCCAAAGCCATATTATTTTTTTTTAATGCAGTATCAAGTGTTTGTAATGCTATAAATAAATAAAATCCATAAATATTAAATGCCAATAATTAATTACTTTTACACTCAAGTATATATATAATTGTTTTAATATATACAAACATTTTAATAATGTCGACCATTCAAAATTTTGTTGATTCATCATTACTTCTCTTGCATCCAATATTGGAAGCATCCATTTTTCATATTTTTTGTTTCTAGATAAATGATGTTGAATTGTTGTTGCTTCAATGGCCAAGTAGTTTCCAAATTCAATTGAATCACTTTCACACTCTGAATCAGAGGAAATCGAATCAGATGATGAATAAGAAGTTGTATCAAATGGCATTTTTTTACGATTTTAAAATTTGATCACAAAATTTTACAATCCGAATCCCGATTTGATTTGGATCTTCAAGATATAATTTCTGGTAACAAACTAGATGATAGAACCTTTAACATGTATAAATACGCTTTAACATGTAATCTTCAGTTAATTAGTTCTTAACTATTATCTTGTAATAACAATGATATCTTAATAATAAAAATACGAACATAAATATCTCTTAAAATAACTTCTTGCCAGTGAAATAATCCACCTGCTTCCAAAACCACATAAATCTTTCACTCTAACTCAATTACTTAATTAATTACTAACTTACCAAGGGGACGCCTTTGATAAGTATAGTTGTGTGCGTATTTTCTTTTAATTTTATTTCTTTATTTTTATTTAGATTAGGCCAACACTTAAATAGTGGAAATCCTAGCTAGGTGCGGTCAGTAAAAGATACTGAGCTATAAAATATAATTAATAAGTGTAGAAAGTATCACGGCGGATACTTAGGATATTATATATAGCATTGAGACGTGCCGGCTCAGGCAGATAACAAAGGACTGCCGAGAAAACGTTACCGGACAGGAAGTAATAAAACTTGCCTTGTAGACAGATTAAATAGCTTGAGTGCTATTAGTAAGAGAAAGTAATTAAGAAATCAACTAATTGGATACTGCCATAAATATTATTTGAACCAAATCAAGAGGTTTGTGTGAGATGTGAATTTTGATCTCACAATGGCAAGGTTGTGGTTTTTGATAGATGTTTGCATTTTTGGTGGCCAGCATCTGGTTCTAATTTTGAAAATTTCTTCTTTTCTCAAGCATCAATTTGGCTAGTACCAATACAAGAAGAACCTAGCTATCTATTGAGGGTAGTATTTTTTAATATACTCATAGTGTCCTTTCTATCGGAGGAAACATCAAAGCTTTCAGATCAGGGTTTCCAAACAAGGTCAGAAGTTTGACATTGTTTGATTCAACAAAACTCACAATCAGTATACTGTAGTTTGTGTCAGTTGGCTTTTTATTT